TGATCAAATTTGACCCTTGACGCGAAATTGCACTATGCAGTTGACTACAATTTGGCATCATAAAATTCGAAAAGTGTTTTATTAACAAATTTATATTTCTTGGAGAGGGGGAGGGGAAGAGAGAGGAAGAGCAGAGAAAGTTACGGTTTATAAAAATCATAAACATTCTTAATTTGTGAATCTGAATTTCAAAACGAAGTATTTTCAGTGGGTAATAGAGTTGACGTTATGAATCGGAACAGAACACTTTTTGATAAATTCCGTCATATTTGTAATTCTTAAGTTCTGTGTATGTGATTTTGTCCATTTGAGTTCAAAATGTAAATTTTGATAAATATATTTTCGAAGTAGTAGATAGGTACAGTTTGGCGTCATGAATCGAAATTAACAAGTAACAAAATTTCATTCGTTTTTGTGTTTAAAGTTTATCTAAATATTTAACGATATTATCAAAGTTTTTATATTTAGAGGCTGCTATGATTCGTGCTATAATTCATATGAAATCAATTTGAAAGTACTTACTATGAAATTGATTTTTGTAAAGTGCTATATCTATACTAATGGTTTTAAAGGGCTGAAAAAATTAGACAAACCCGCGACAGTGATATACTCTTCATATGATTTTTAGCAATACACCACCCAAAACAATTTTTTAAATATTCTCAAAAAATTTAAATACAGTTTGGCGTCAGATATCAAATTAACAAACATGCAAATAATTTACGTTCTTTTTGTCCCTGGTATCTCAAATTTAGCAGAATCTTCCCTAAAAAATTGACATATACTATACACATTTTCTTTAGAAACCGCAATTGTTGCTTTCGTAACCTCACTTCCATCAAATGAATTTGGAACGACTGTCTAATAGAACGGTTCTCGTACGATGCAATATTTGCAGAAAAAGTGTTAGAATGTTGATAAATTTATAAAAATCCACGAGAGAGAATTTTGCACATGTGATTTCTGCTACCATAATATAAACAATTTGAATATTAAAAAAAAAAGTCAAAAATCTAAACACAGTTTGGCATCATCAATCGAAACTAACAAATAACCAAATTTACCCCTGCCGTTCCTTGTACTTGACATTTCGAATACTTTTGCTAATTTTGAGATATTTAACGATCTGGTGAACATTTTACTTCCTGAGAGTAAGGTAAGAAAGTATTGTAATCGAATCCATTCGACGCATTGCTAGTTTTATATCTTCTCGACGTTTCATGACACTTAAGAATACGAAAAAGCGGGTCTGCCGTTTCCATCTGACTGTTGTCTGGCGTTTGTTGTCTGTCGTCTGTTGTCTGTCGTCTGTTCTCTGTCGTCTGTTGTCTGTCGCCTGTTGTCTGCCGTCTGTTGTCTTGTTGTCTATCGTCTGTCGTCTGTCATCTGTCGTCTATCGTCTGTTGTCTGTCGTTTGTGTCAATTTTTATTAGACCCGTAGTCTCCGAAACTACTGGACCGATTGTTCTTAACAGTTTGGCATCATGAATCGAAATTAACAAATATAAAATTTGTTGAATTTATATTTTTCGAAGATGTAGGATTTGTTGAACTGTACTCCAGGGACGAGAAAAGTTTTGTCTGATTAATTTTAAACTTTTTATACTTATTGCAAATATAATACTTAACTTAAATAAAAAATTTGTGGTATCGATTTAGACTATTTATAATATTTTGAAATTATTGAAATTTTGTCAGTTCATCTACAGTAATTCACGAAATTCGCATTAGTAGGTTAAATCCTAATTTTTAAGGAAAAGATAGTTTAAGGCAATAAACGAAAGGAATTGAAATAAATATTCTTTTAAGTTTAAGCACAAAAAAAAACAAATTATACCTACATCTGTTTGTAAATTTTCATAAATGATGCCCAACTTGGTAAGTAATACTTCGTATTTAAATCTTTAGTATTGCGTTGTCACCCTTTACTTTACTTCTGTGAAATTCTGTGAAATTTTGAACAAAAAAAGAAATGTAAATGAATTATATGGATATTAGTCACTTTCGATTCATGATGCCAAACTGTACCTAAATATTTGAAAAAAAATTGAAACTATCTAAATGTTTGGTATTGTGTTGTTAGGAAGAATATCTACAGTGTTTACTCCCGGGAATTAGATGGATTTATCAACATTTTTAAACAGAAAATAGCATTTTACAACAACCGATCTCCTAGTGAAGCCTTTTAAATTCATTTGGTGTGAATGAGTTCATACAAGTAAGAATTGCGGTTCTTAAAATAATATTCATAACGTAGTTCTACTTTAGCATTTATGGTGAATAATTTAGAAGTACTGTGTATTTGATTTTCGCCAATTGAAGTTCAAAATATAATTTTCACAAATACATTGTCAAATTTGTGGATACAATTTGACGTCATGAATCGAAAGTGACCAATTTTAAATGTATGCTGTTTGTATAGAAAAATTTGAAGGTACTATTGAATTTAGTCAAATTCAGAAGTACTGTATATGTGATTTCTTTCAACTAACAGCTCAAAATGTAAATTTGGCATGTATATTATAAAAATTGTGTATACACTTTGGTGTCATGAATCGAAATTGACAAATTTTCAATTTATGCTATTATTTAAGAAAAATCTAAAAGTATTGATAAATTTTGTAAAATTCGTGATTCAGGAGTGGCAGTCCAAAATGTAAATGTGACAAATGTATTCTCAAACTTGTACATGCACTTTGGTTACGATGCGAAAGTAGCTAGAATTTTTGAAAAAAATTAAAAATAAGTATTTAAATCTTTAGTATTGCGCAGGTATCCTCTCCTGTACTTTTGTGAAATTTTGTGAAATTTTAAACAAAAGAAATATATAAATGAATTATATGGATATTAGTTAGTTTAGATTGAGATGCCAAACTGTATCTAAATTAAAAAAACAAAAATTAAACTATATACATTTTTAGTAGTGTGTTGGTAGGAAGGGCATCTGCAGTACTTACTCTCGTGCATTGTATGAATTTATCAACCGTTTTAAATAGAAAATTAGCATTTTACAAGAACCAATTTCCTAGTGTGTTCTTTCAAATTCATTTGATGTTAATGAGGTCACAGAAGTAAAAATTGCGGCTCCGAAAATTAATATCCACAACACAGTGCCATTTTAGCATTTATGGTGCGTAATTCAGAAGTACTGTGTATTTGATTTTCGTCAATTGAAGTTCAAAATGTAAATGTGACAAATAAGTACATTGTTAAAACTATAGATACAGTCATGAACAGAAACTGACAAATTTTAAATTTACATTAATTTTACACTGATGTTCAATTTAGTCAACTTTATCATGCAGAAGTACATCAGTATATGTGATTTACGTCAACTAACAGTTCAGAATGTAAATTTGGCATGTATATCGTATAAAAATTGTGTATACAGTTTGGCGTCATGAATCGAAATTCGCAAATTTTCAATGTATGTTATCATTTAATAAAAATTTTAAAGTATTGATAAATTTAGTAAAATTCATAATTCAGAAGTGACAGTTCAAAATGTAAATTTGATAAATGTATTCTCAAAATTGTAGATACAGTTTGGCATCATGAATTGAAAATGCCAAATCTTCAATACAGGTTATGTGTGCAAAATAAATTTAATAATACTAGAGGAGTATCAATTTTTTTCAAATTCGTGATTTGGAAGTAATGTGTATGTGACTTCCGTCAATTGACAATTAAAAATATAAATATGTCTAATATATTCTGAAAATTGGAGATAGAGGTATTTGGTATTATTTTTGGCGCCATGAATCGTAATTAATAAATATCAAATTAATTTATTACCAATTTCTTTGTTTTTTTTTTGTTTCAATTTTCACAGAATCCTCTCTAAACATTGAGGTTTTAAGGATACCTACTATGAATATCATTATTTTCTTAGTTAGGACTGTGATTCTTTCACACAGGTTTAGCTGAAAAAAATGTTAAAGGATTAAAATATTTAGGTAAATCATCAAAGCGAAAATTTGAATGTTTACATAATCATCTCAAAATGCATAAGCTACAGTTTGCCTTCATGGATCGAAACTGCCAAATTTTTAATTTGTTCTAATATTTTAAAAAAATAATTAGAAGGACTGATAATTTTGTTAAATCTGGGATTTGGAGGTACCTACATATTATACAACTGCCGTTTTTAACGATGGCCTTAGGGATTTACGTGCTAAAAACTTTGGTTTATGTTAATTAGTTTTCTAGTAAAATTTGGCAGAATCTTAGACAAGTAATTTATAAATCAGCTTAGTACATTTCATTACATACAGCAAAATAATTACGAAATTTCAGCAAAAATGAATGCATTAAATTCGCCACAAATTCACGAAGTAGTTTCTTCACGTATGTAACTAAACTAATTAATGTTCTTTTTTTGTTATAATTCTGTAATTATTTTGTTCTGTACACTAAAATGAACTGAAGTCGATTTATAAAATACTAGTTCAACATTCAGCAAAATTTCACTTGAAAATTACGGCTACAAAACTTACTTAACACGACCCACAATTTTTTTTAATACAAATCACTGTAGTCTGCTTTAAAAAAGGCACTGTACATGTGATTTCAACAAACTGACTACTTACTGAAAATTTTGCGCAAATATCAGATATTCCTAAAATTGTAAAGACAGTTGTTGGGCATCACGTATCGAAACGAAGAGTACGAATCTTTTCATTTAACTGATTTATTTTTTTGTAAAAATTGAGCCTACCAATTGAGAAACCAGTGATATTTTATAATTTTGCCGGATCGTGCCAAATTGTTAAAAATTTAACTTCATCTTTTAAATATCTACTTATAATTGTTTTTTCCATTTTTTACTCACAATTCGTTTTTAAAGCCAACCTAATGATTCTCTATTAAGAATTATACCTAATAGATGAATTGATAATACTGCAAGGTTGTAGTTGATTTCAATTTCGCTCGTTTTTATGACGCATGCACTATGCAATAATATGCATTTCTCTGTCTAAATTCCGCTGTTTTGTGTCGCAATAACACCTTCGTTTCCCGCGTAAAATATTATTTGGACTACAATACGGTGGCTAAGTTCGTGGTCCATTATTGGGTTTATACTCTGTTTATAGTGTGCTGTTTAATTAATTTGTTACAAGATTGTGTGATTCGTGACGGCATCGGCAGTTTCTTCAAGTAAGTTGATTTCATTTAGTGTCGGTACTGATAGAGAATTTACGATATCCTAACCAAAACAAAACAAAAGCCGCCTAATTTTGCTTTTGCAGTAAAATCACAGGTCGTTCACAAGTACATATATGGCAATTTTGATTAAATGAAACTCTTGTCCTTAAAATACTTTTTTCTGCTTTATTTCTTATTCTGCTCATCCGGTATCCAGTGGCGTGGTTAATTTCAGAACGCATTAATTTTTATATATTTTTTAATTAGTAATTTTTTAACGGTTCACTGTACTAATGCTTCGTGATATGTTATCTTACGTAAATATACAGGGTGATTTTTTTGAACCTGAAACTTTCAAATATCTAGAAAAATAAACACTCCAAAAAAATGTCCATAATCAAAATTTAATTATGCCCCGGGGGAAATACATTAGTGGTAAATTTAGCCCCCCGCTTCCTCTCCTTATAGGTGGGGGAGGGGTTTCGAAACTTTAAACAGGAACTGCTGTTTGTTATTGCAGATTCGGAGTCTACGGCAAAAAATACATATGATTTGTTTGAAAAATTTTTTTTTCGATTCGTGGTAGATGGCGCTGAATCGACGAAATTCAAACTTTCTCGATTTCTCCCACTGAGAACCTATGCATACGATTTTGCAATACATTGGCACTAAAAAATACAACATTTTATGGAAATACTCGAAATTCGTCTTCAAAAAAGTTGTACCTTTACCCGTAGATTTCGATTCTGTAATAAAAACTGGTAGTTCCTATTTAACATTTTTTTGTAGAGTACTTATTTTCCGAAATATTTGAAACTTTCAGGTTAAAAAATTACTCTGTATAGTAAACGTCTTCTTATTAGTACGGTATTTTAAGATTTATTTGTGAATGTATGGTACTTCATAAAAAGTCTAAATCTATTTAATAACCTTTCCAAATAGATCATTTAAATATTTGTCCAGTTTGATTACATTTTAAATGTATTGTTGAAAATGAATGTTTATTAATAATTTTAATTCTCCTTTTTAGCCGTGGTATTATGTGTATAAGGTTTGCCCTTATTCGTTACTCCAATGGGGTATTCGATGTATGCGACGAAAAAATTATTAAGAAAAACCAGAGAAGAATAGAGAAAGGATCAAGTAAAGCATTTTACAATGTTAAGGTTATATGTATTGATGGTAAGTATGAAAATCGAATTTACGTAACCACCTATAGTTAAAAATTTAAATTAAAGTAACGTTTCTATCTTTGACTTTCAAGCAATAATACTTAATTTATTCAACTGGTCTAGTGCAATGATTGCAGGGTTATAAAAGTTACCTAGTGTTAAGTCTTATATTCTTGATGCATTACATCCGTATCCTGATATATATAAATAGGGCTGTATTTTCATAAGTGACAGTGGTTGTGAGCTTCGATCCCGAGTAGGTAAAAAGGCAAGGACGTATTATTTCAAATTGAGTAAAATTTCAAGCAGAAAAATTTTCATGATAACGAAATGACTTTATTAATTATAAACACGTCGCTACATGTTTAAATAAAAATTAATTAAACATAAAATTATTATAACAACGCCCAGTATAATTTCATTATATATTATTATTACTTGTGCTTATAAACTTGCAAAAATAAAAATCTGCACAAATGAATATTTTTTTAACTGTTGCTGTCAGAACTATTTACAGAATTACTGTCACTTATTTCGCTGTCAGAATCGCTGCTTCCGGTATTTGCAGTGATAATAACATTTTATTGTTGTTTTTTTTTAATGGATTTCTCCACCTTTTAAACGTGCAGCATACACACCTGATGTGTTTCATAACGAGAAGGGAAAACCGCTTCGTACAATTTTAAATTTAATGTGAAATTTTAGATATATGATCCATCTAACCCTTTGAGAGTACGGAATGCCTAGCTGCTGCTGATATCCGCACAACAATAATAACAGCATGCTTGATAACGACTATTGAATATAATTTTGAACAAATCTTTATTTTTTAAATATCCAGAGATTGAAACACTCTTAAATCTGAACCCTCTCTGTGGGCCAATTTTTAAAATTACCCAGAACAGATGTGACAAGAATCCACAGAAGCCGACCACATTTACGGGGTTGTTAAAAATCATAAAATATTATTTGGTTACAAATGAAATGCACCAAGTACATATATCTTTATAAGGACAAAGTAAATATAATTTTTGTTTTTTTTTATCTTTCAGGAAACTTTGAAGCCTTAGAAGACTTGAAACAACAACTAAATAAAGAAAAAAAACTACTAATTGGTAAGAACGAAATAATTTTATTTCTCCAGCCTGAACTAGTGAAGTAATGAAATAGGGTCCATTTGACAAATGACTGCTTTTATGTTTTCTCGACGTTTCATGACCTCTGAGGCATAAAAAAGGTCCCACGTTTCCGTCTGTCTGTCGTCTTCGTCGATTTTTATTAGACTCGTCGAGCCATATTATAGGTACACGTTGAAATTATTTTTCGCATTTTTGACTTTATTTTTGAATCCACATGCTTGCCACGTAGACATAGCGTAATCGTATTAGGTATTTAATGTATAATGTGGGTGTGTAATTTTAAAAATATGCAATTTTTAGAAATAATGTGTCTTTATGTAAAAATTACTCTTTTAATTTAAGTAGGGCATGCTGATATTTCAAGCAATAGAACAAATAATGTGGAATATCTATCTAGCACACAGGCTCAAAGTGAATGTAATCATCTTGTTTTTAAATTCTTTATACTGAATTCTTGCTCTATAAATGGCTTGAAATAACATTTACACAATGGAATACCTCCATTGTTAACAGGCTTATTTTTATGAAATTTTAATATAATATGTCTACAATTTTCTATACATTACACAAGGGTAGTTTTTTTAAACAGGTTATCATCACTTTTAAACAAAAGCGATGTTTGACTGAAAACATTTCATTAGTTAATGAAAGTGGCAACACAGAATTATTTATAAAAATTAGTATAAAAAAAACACTAACAAATTTTCTTTTGAAAAGTAGTACATACTAATGTTTTGTGCTCAATTTTGCTTATTAAAAATATTTGTACCCCTAATTCTAACACTTCAACGATCTTAGTGTATAATATGTTTAATTGTGTGCGCAGTCATTTGGAATGGAGATAATCTTCGCGTTGTAAAAATTATTCTTTACTATTTCATTCTCTGTGATTCCAAATAAAATAAAGCCCTTTACCAACGGTCGAAGATTATTTTGCCACAACTTCACTCGCCCGTGAAGTACTGTCGAACAAATACGGCTTCTTCAAAATTTAATTTGCAAATTTTATTTCTTTATGATAACCGCTATAAATTAAATCAAAAATATGTGTGAACTGTTACAGTACAGGTAAAGGAGCATATTGTGCGTGTGTTTTAAGTGAGTTTGTCCATCACAAAATGTTTGTGATAACGTCATCAACGTTTTAGGAAACATACGTATATCAATTTGAATAGGTGCAATCTAATATTAATAATAACGGTGCTGTATACTCAAATTTTCGAGAACATAAAGTGAGTCGTGCTTACTGTGATCAATAAAATAAATTCCCTCATTTATAAATTTTTTTAAGCCAGCGTTTATAAGTAATTCTAAAAACTATTAATGCATTGCTAAATCACAAAAATAGAGGCATAGGATATTGCGCATTTTAGATAAGATTTATTTGACAAAATTTTGAAATGTCATCAATTTTTTGGGAGGGGGTAAATGGATAAGTTTAATATTGATTACCGATTTATATTGCTTCCGATAAACGTAATACGTTTGTAACATTTTAGATCGTACGGTTTTGCAGTTTCAAAGTTCAATTACAAAATGTTATAAGATTTTGTTTGTGGAGGAGTATGTTATTTTATAAATTTTAAAGATGACGTAATCCTATTGTTGGTGGAGATGATTAGACAAATTTTGGTTAGCGCTGTACCCTCTACATCATAAATTAACTATGTGCTAAGAATATTATGTTAAACGTGATATTTTTAACAAACATACAAAATTTGACAACAATCGGTCTAGTAGTTTCGGACATTATCTATCTCATAAAACTCTTCATAGAAGACAGACAGGCAGACGGAAACGTGGACCACTCGTACTCAGGTGTCATGAAACGTCGAGAAAAGTTCAAAGTAACAAGTCGATCAATGGAGGCAATTAATGCACTAAATAATACAATGTAAAATATGTTTGTCATTATTGTTTTATTTCAGTATTCGAACGTCTAGCAACAAAAAATTATGGAACAAACTCACGCTATTCGTGCAAGCAGAAGTTTTGCATTTTTTGCAAAACTCTCAAAACTAATTTAGCACGTCATTTTGAAATTTGTCACTCAGAAGAGGCAGAAGTAAGAAAATTCTTAAGTTTCAATAAAGGTTAGTTATCAAGTTAGTTGGAATGTGTAATTAAGTAAGTTTAAATTGCAGGTAGTCCTGAACGTTGTGAAATTATAGCAAATCTACGAAAAAGTGGCAATTATAATTACAACAAGAGCAATAAAGAGAATCCCATTCTTATCAGACGAGTGCAAAAAGGTTCACGAGACTCTTTACCATGCCCTAATTGCAAAGGATTTTATTCACAGATAACACTATCTCGTCATTATGCCTACTGCTGCAAAGATCTGAAAGATGAAAATGCTAGTAGATCTGTTTTAAGAGCTGCTCGTGCCGTGGTTAGTAAAATTCATCCGGCGGCATATTTGCAACTAAAAGAGAAAATTTTGCCGCCAATGAAACAGAATATAATATTGGATACTGTCAAAAAAGATATGCTGTTAATTTTGATTGGCAAATATTTAGTCCCCAAATATAGAGAACACCAGGAGTATATGATACGGAACAAATTGAGGTTTCTAGCGACATATTTTTTAACTGTGAAAAAAATTGATAATAACATTGACGAATTTCATAAGTTGTTCTACCCTCAACATTTTGATTTGGCACTTGAAGCAGTAAAACAGATGGGAGAAATTGATAATAATTCATCAGTGTACAGTAAATCAACATCCGCATTGACCATAACACATTATCTAAAAATTTGTTGTAATATTTTGCAAAGTCATTATATTCGAGGAGGAGACGATGGAAACGAACAAGCTGTTAAAAGATTTTTTAAACTCCTGAAAACAGAAGTTCCTGGTAAAATAAATAAACCAGCCCATAGAGATCTGTGTGAAATGAAAAGAAAAAAAATGATGACGAAAAGAAGTATCATTCCAACGACAAAAAATGTTGAAAATTTTAAAATTTACATTTTAAAAAATGCAGCAAAAACTTACAAGACTCATGACTGAAGAATTTTATTTTACACACTGGAAGACTTTAGCGGAACTCACACTGATGTATATCAGTGTTTATAATAGAAAACGAGCTAGTGAAGCCCAAAGAATACTTGTGGAGGATTTTCGAAATATACAGACTTTGCGTGATACAGTACTCCCAGAACTGCTCAACAATTTAGGTGACAATAGAATAAAGAAGTTGATTGCACATACAAATTAATGATCAGAGGAAAACTTCACAGAACGGTGGCAGTTATAATTCCCCATTATATAAAGAAATATTTAACATTTATTAATGACTATAGAAGTCAGGCTGGAGTATCGGACGATAACCCTTATATCTTTGGCTTGCCGGGGAAAATGGTAGGACAGCGATACAGAACTTTAGAAACGTGTCGAATAATTAGAAAGTATACAGCTATGGCAAAATTACAAAATCCATGTTCTATAAGAACAACCCTTCTACGAAAACAGTTTGCAACAAAGACCTCAACAATGAACCTTCAGGATTATCAAAAAGAAACCGTCGTTAATTTTATGGGTCATCAACGAAATATACACGACGAGTATTACAGGCAGCAGATAGTTGTAGGTGATTTAATGATAAAGAAAATCTTAGATCAAGAAAGCCAAATGACCATGGACGAAATTTGTGAAAGAAATGAAGACAAAACTATTGATCCAGGTATTTTTGGAAAAGAAATAGGCATTTTGTTATAACACTTATGTTTTTTTTTTTTTTAGATATAGAATGACCTCTTGTCACAAATTGTTCTGTTAGGACTTGCACTGAAGGTAATCACTTAATACTAAATTCACAAAATATTGCTAAGTTTTTTAATAAAGAACTTAGGAGAGAACTTTTTAATTCCTGAGCATACGCTGGGGTTCATTCTGATGGCTGATTTTATTTTCTCGATGTTTTATTTTTGTTCAAGAGGAAAAAGTCTCTGGCTCGTTTCTGGCTGTCTATCAGCGACTTTATTAGGTAAGTGATCTCCAAAACTACCAGAAAGATTGTTGTGTAGATGATATTTTAGCAACCAAACTTTATTCTTTTATTCCCACCAACAATTTGAAGACATTCACATTTTTGGGAAAAAATCACTATTGTGTAACAATATAACTTTAAAGCTGCAATTCCTAATGCTTCTGAAATCTTGCAAAGATTGTAAAATTATCATAGCCAAGATAAGCTGTTAATCAAAATGTATCTGCTTATCCCCTTTCAAAGAATTGATGACGTACTTTCATAATTTTGACAAATAAATCCTATCTCAAACATGCAAAATATTATGAATCTATACTTTCACAGGCTCTTGTAAAAATTATGAATGCCTTGGTAAACTACTTACAAGTGTAATAGTGATATCTGACAAGAACGCACGTGTTATATGTGCTGTCTGCGATTCGGCCGAAGACGACACTAAGGCCTTAATTACGTGCTCTGTGTGTACCAAAAGCTTCCACCCCCGCTGCGTTAATGTGAATCTACGAGGTTTCCATAAGAAGAAGAACTGGATATGTAACACCGCTGTTTGCCGTGAAACCTCCGAAGATTCCGAGGATATGGAATTCAAAAGTGACATTTTCCTGGACGCAGATGACAAAGTAGTAGATTATAAACTTTTCCATTACATTTTGAAACAGAAAGATGAGTTAATCCTCGAATTAAGAGGTGTTATCAAATTAATGAAGAGTCACATTGACCTACTACACTATAAAAACCCTGAAAACACCGACAAGAAGGTCGGTAAGAAACCTGATAACGATATCGCCAACAGCGCTGAAGGCGAACCATCAAGAGAGACAGCAGCTATGGTCGACACGATTGAACACATAAAAACGAGAAGCGACACTACAATCAAAACAAACTCGAAATTGCCAAAATCGACCTTAAACAACACAAAAAAGGACGCTAAACATCATCAGACCCAAGATACGTGAACGACTTCCCGGAAATGATCTGTGAACTACTTGAAAACAAACACGAAGAAAACCACGCCAGATTCAAAGTAACCATTAATTTTGAAAACCTTGAAAAAATTAACAAACCGGAATATTGGCCAAGCGGAGTTTTAATATCAAGATATTTTCACCCAAAGAAGCCACCGCAGCACCACAAATGACCTCGATAACAAGTGAGAGGAAACGTAGCAAATTGTCCCAGGAACGTTTAACAACTGACAATTGGTTGAATATTTTCTACATTAACATTCAGTCATTGAGATGTTAAATTAACGCAATAGAATTATTTTTTCTAGACAACCCTTTTGACATTATCTGTTTTAGCGAACACTGGCTGAAGATGGAGCAAATGGAGATTCTAACAATACTCAAATATAAGGTCGCTGGTAGTTTTTGCCGTAGCAACGGATATGGAGGATGCGCGATATTGGTAAATACTAGCATAAGATACTCGGTTGTAAATTTAACATCGGTTTGTAAAGAAAGAGTTTTGGAAGCAGCCGGAATATACTTAGTCGGCAAGGGGGTTTATATCATTACCATTTACCGACCGACAAAATGTAATTTTGAAGAATTTTTATACTTATTTAACAACCTTCTTTTAAAGTTGGGCGATAAGGACGCAATAATAATAGGCGATTTTAATATTACGTTTAATTCACCAGATCATAAGGTAATGACTTTCCTAGATCTTATTCACAGTTACCAAATGAGAGTTCTAGTTAAGGAAAACACGAGAAAGCTAAACTGCATTGACAACATTATAACTAATATAAATACACCATACAGAACTAAAATTATTGAGACTAGACTATCAGATCATGATGCCATCAGTATCGACGTGAGCGTGCCAAAGTCCGAAACAAATTGTGGGAGTAAAATATCGTGCAGACCTTTTACAAAACACGGATTATATATGTTCTATAACTATGTATCTGAAATTAACTGGTTCTTTGTTGAGGATGTCAGCCTCAGTCTAGAACAAAAATGGCTACAATTTGTAACTTCACTATCAAATGCAGCAAAAAAATCATTCCCACTAAAGACTTTCAAAAAGGAGAAGTCTGCTAGTACCGCATTCCTAAAAAAAAACACAGAAGTATTACAGTTAAAGGAGTATGTAGAATTATTTCATAGTTTAAAATCACATTTCCCGGGGAATGAATATTTTAAAATTGCATGCAAAGAGTACAAGAAACTTCTTAATGACAAAGTCAGAGACTTTAATACATAGACTGGCTGTGTCAGGAAAAACGTGAAGTTCTTCGACCGCCATATTGCTTATAACCGTAAGTGCGCGAAATTTGAATTTTCCGGTCACAAAATGCAATTTAAAATGTTAAATAAAAAAGACAACAAATTGTAATTATTTATTTAGCATAATAATATCTATTATGTATATGTAAATTCCTTTAAAAATATTAATGTCCTTGAAACAAAATTAATTTCGTGAATTTTTGTTTTAAAGAGATAGCTTTTTCACGCTCAGTACTTAAGCGGCACTCATAACCTATTCCGAGAGTCAAATAATTTCTCAAAATTAATTTAAGCAATAAATTAAAATAAGAATTATTTACGTCCAACTAATCCATACTAAACAAATGTTCATTATGTAGAAAAAAAATGTATGGTCCTACTTTGCAAAGTTAAGGCAAACATTTTAGTTACCAAATCATTTTTAATGGCCATATTTACAAACAATCTCGTAAGTCCCGACACACAACCACTTTTATTTCGAGGTCTAGAAACGTTCTGTGCTAGAAACTACTGCTGCTAACCACCACAACCTCACTTAATTTGACATAAAAGTTATAGCAATGGCGTCCATACTACCATGCGCCGTGGCTTCACCAAAATGCATTAGAAATGTTACTAACAGCCAGTCTATGTATTTAAAGTCTCTGGACAAAGTAAACTACCTCAAAAAGAAAAATATAGAACACGTACTCAAAAGCTCGCCCAACTTACCTGGGGACGCGTGGAAAATAAGTAATACCAGCAGAAATAGTAATAAAAATAATAATTGTTCTGAGGTACTCAATGCGGAGGATTTTAATAGCCACTTTGTTAATGTTGTTCATGACTTAAAAGTAAAAATGGCGAATGACCCGGAAATTCTAGCGGACCTAGCTGACACACAAACAAATAAACATTGCCCTACAAAGTTCACTTTTAAAGAAATAAGTTTTAATGAACTTAGAGATGCAGTAACTAAAATAAAAAACAAAAATAGTAGGGACTTGGATGAACTTGACATTATCATGGTTAAATATATAATAAACTTAATAATTTCGCCGTTGACAAAACTAATAAATCTGAGTATAAAGCATGCATTTTTTCCACAATGTTTAAAATATTCCAAACTACTCCCAGTTCATAAAAAAAAACAGTGGGGACAGCTACAGTAATTACCGCCCAATTTCAATAATCCTAACATTATCAAAAATTGTAGAAAAACTTTTACACAAACAACTAACGGAATTTGCCTATAGCAAGGATTTGTTATGTTCTTCACAATTTGGGTTTAGGGCTAAGAGATCGACAACTTTGGCGATTCAGGAATTGATAACGTATATATCTGAAGGATTTGAAGAAAAAATGTATATTGGGGTCGCGTTTTGGGATTTGTCTAGGGCATTCGATTATGTGGACCATAATTTACTGCTCAGCAAATTAATAGAAATTGGAATTACGGATCAATCTCTCACACTACTAGAAAGTTATCTATTAGATCGTTATCAAGTCACAGTATATAATTCCGCCACATCTACTCCTTGCAAGATCGCGTACAGCGTGCCTGAAGGCTCCATTTTGGGACCCTTACTTTTCCTAATATACGTAAATAATTTACCGGCAGATGTAGATGTTAAAATGATCCTATACGCGGATGATACAACTCTGCTATTAAAAGATGACGAACCAAATAAACTAGTAGACAGGCTTAACTCAGCACAAACAAAGGTGGCGGATTGGTTTCTGAAAAACGGTCTCTTCTTAAACAAAGACAAAACGGCCTCAATGATCTTCTCAACAAAAACAATAACTTCAGAGAATCTTGAAAATATAAAATTCCTTGGAGTAATAGTGGATTCAAAGTTATCCTGGGACGCTCACGTTGATGCTGTTTGCCGTAAGCTCAATAAAACAATATATTTACTACGCAAGATCGGCAGACAAGTCCCAATAACTATTACTAAATTAGTTTACTATAGCCTTTTCGAAAGTCACTATGCTTATGCCATCCTAGCATGGGGACACACAGCGCATCTTTGTAGAATATTTAAGTTACAAAGAAAAGCGGTCAGAATAATACTGAACTTGAACTATCAAGCGGATGTGAGACATTTTTTTCCTGAACTAAACATACTCACGGTACCGGCATCATATGTCTACCAGTGTCTAATACATACAAAAAAATGTTTAGACAACTATACAAAAATTAGTGATAGACATCTATATAACACTCGGAGTGGTAATGGTATATACCTCATTATCTCAGAATATATAAAAGCCGTAATTCAATTAATTACTACGGCCCTAAATACTTTAACAGCTTACCTTGCAATATCGCAGCACTTCCGGAGCCACAGTTTAGGAACACTGTGAGACAAAAATTGTTAGAATCTCCACTTTACGACCTAAATATGAGATCTATAAGCCAGGTTTTTAATTAATTCTACTGATGTACAATATACTAAGGTGTAATTGTTTTGTATACGATATATGTGTATTTATGTTCTTTTATTTTGACCTTACTTAATGTCTGTGTACATTTTTAAAGTATAATAAATATTATTTTATTATTATTATTAATATTATTACAAGTATAGACTCAATATTTCGACGTTCGCAAGATTTTAGAGAATTTGGTTACAAACAATTTTGTGTTTTTTTTTCTAAAAATTTGGGTTTCTAAGGTTAAAAAACAATGCGGATCCAGAAAGTATACATTTAGGAGTATGTTACTTTATAAAATTTGAATAACACCTACTATACACAGTTTTAAGGGTGACCTCATCACATTGTTGGTGGCGATAATTAGATTGGTTGGCATTCCAGCATGTTTCGGAGATCATCTGTTATAATAAAAGTCGATACAGTCATGAAACGTTGAGAACACATTAAAGTAGCCATTCGCCCCATGACATGAATGGTTGCGATGATTGACAAATTTTAAATTATATATTTTTAGTTGGGAATTTAACTCCTCCGCCAAGTACCAGTCAGGAACCAGTTTTTACGACTCCAAAAAGTAAAATAAAAGTTGTTAGAAAATTTAATTATTGTAAGTATTAGTTTCATACTAAATTGAAAAGTCTTTTCTGCAGACACTTAACGAATATTGGCACCAAAAAGCGTTATGTAACAATTTTTATAACATTATAAACTTTATAATTTAACGTTTCATACGAATATATGTATTTAAACCTTTTAAAAACATTATGATGGTTCAGAAAATATTAAACAATTGATTTTACCAGGATTTTAGTTATTCCGTAAAAGGACATTGACAACATATATTCCGTAATAAATCCGATTCACTTGTAGAAATTAACTTTTAAAATTTTAGTTTCTGTATTCCTAACAGATTGCAATAATTATTCACGTAATTTTTTAAGAAAAAAAATTTGTTAAATCATAGTTCCGCTAGTTTAGGCTTATAAGACTAATAAGCTGCCTATATTTTGAATCTTAACATTTTAGCTCCATCATCCGAACCATACAGCGGTGGAAGTAGTGATGAGTGGGACCCCGGAAATGTTTCCCACATTCAAAAAACCCTTGGTCCAAGTAAGTATACAGTAATACTTATATCCTAAAAATCAGAAACTTTAATTTCTAGTGACTACAAAACGCCGTGTGTGGTTGACACCAAAAAAGTCGACAGCAAAAGTTCTGTTTAAAAACTGCATAGAAAAATTAACAGTACCTAGTCTGGCAGAATGTTCAGAAGCTATTGCTCACTCAAAAACTCTGCAAACCCGAACGGCGCAGCAAGTAAGGCAGTGGGTGCAACACTATATTAAAACCAATTACTTCAAATGTAGGTATAATGATTTTATTTATTAAAACATTTCAAATCTGAGGAAAAAATTCTAGGTGATACTGCAAAAATTCGACGTCCCTGGAGTACACCAGAAAAGCAGCTTGTTCGTAAAGCTTTTGGCACCTACATTGCGGAAAAATTGTATCCATCAGGATTTGAAATAAGCGAATTAATTAAAAAACATCCCATCCTCAGAAGGCGCTCCACAGCTTCTATAAAAAGTTTTCTGCAACATGAAAGATCAAAAATGTAATCATTGTGTTTGCTTTTATATGTACCCGTAATAAATAATTATAAATAAAGATAATAACCTAATTCAAATTCTGTTTTATGTTTTATTAGAAATAAAGTGAAAATAATGTCTTTAATTTGAAACTAAATTTTCTTAAAGTGCTATATTAGAATGCTGTACCACGAAGTACATACATAAATGAATTCAATCCCATTTCCCCCTAAGTTAGGCACCCAGTAAAACACGATCGTAGCGAATTTCCGGTGCATACAGTTTGGCTTCACGTAAGAGTGCACATAATACTTGAGGTCAAACTGTTTGTTAGACATACATATATGTATGCACGGTATGTTGTTACCTCCGAAGTATATACTAATAGCAGGGCTATGAAAGTCTCAGCTGACTCCATAAGAAATACATGGGGAGCTTACGGAACGACATAAAGAGGTCACTGGCGTCACTAAAGGTGCTCCGACCTTGAAGAACATAGTTTCTTTTTCATTTTAAGGTTTTCGGTGAACGTTTTGTCTGGTTTTGTCAACAAGAAATGTCATATTATTTACGGAATCATACGGGATGTTGGGTTATGGGGTTAAAAACAAACGTTTTATTGTAACAAAGTAATAGATACTTACGACGTAGTCTTGCGATACATGTAAAAAATACTAGAAAATTCCAGGCTAAAGAGGTCAACAAACTGCAGGTTAAACGAAATAGTTTAATTTTCGATGTGTGCGTGTTTGAGCGGTCCAAGATTTATTTTTAAATTTTAGTGTGTAAAAAATTCTAACTCTAATAAAAACTGAGACGAGGTAATCAAGAGGAAAGTCTTTGCAGGGGTGGTGGAATGGTATTTTTGTATGGTTCGTTTTTTAGCCGCAAACCAGTTAACGAATACAGTGCATAAATTGGGAAAAACTCACAAAATGTATTACCCACTACCGGAGTATAAACTGCAAAATGTGCAGGTGGCATCATTAAATCGCCAAAAATCACATCTTCATTGAAAACTTTAAAATGTCACAATTAAAACAGGATGTACCACTTCGTAAGAATGTGCAAAGTTCTCACAAACTTCGCAGAAGTGGTGATGTAAGAATTTTCGTATTAATGAATATCCACAAACATACCATAAACAGTTGTGTTCTTTCAAGGTGAGTTTCCGGTAACTCACATCACTTAATGATTGTTGAAGAGACCGGAATACAGGGAAGATGTGTTGTGGAAGTTTATTTAAAAGAACACCTTGGCAAATTTTTCATTTCAAATAAAATAGTGTTTCACAGTTGGTTCTTGCACTTGTATCGAAATAATCTGTAGTAAATAGTTTCTGAAACGTTCTTTGGAATTCTATTGGTGTGGGATTTATACAATTCCCAAATTGACGCCTCACAGAGCCAAAGAAATATGTCAAACAATACTGATTTAGTTGCAGCAACCTTTTAGTGAAAATTGTAAACAAATTGTATTCTGTGAAAACTATTAAAAATAATAAGCAAAATGTTTATGTTCCTGAAGTTGTTTTTTATTTTTTTGTGAGTGATTTAAAAATATTAAGAGTGAATTAAAAATTTTGCAATTCACTTGTGGATAACAACTTATTTGTCAAACTTGTTAAGGTTTTAATAAACGCAGTTTAAAACGTCAAAATTGAATAAAAATGTTTTGCTTGAATATATTAATAATTTATAGAAAAGAAAAAAATGACCAATGTCACTAGTACATGCCAACCATTTTTATTTTTGTGTACAATTATTAGTATTATATGAATCACATACGAATGCTACGAAATATTTGAATCTTCGTGTTTCCCGGGAACGGGCTCCCAAGGTCACACCCGTTCCGCAAATATTGCTGAAGTTTCGTTACTGATCTACTGTGCTAATAGTACGTTGTCACCTCATCTACAACGTTCTGACCTCCGGTTTCGGAGGTAGAAACGTTTTGCCTTGTAAATAATTTATTAATCATCCAGGGGGCGCTAGGAGCTTGATTTTCAATTTTCGTCTGGAGGTCATAACGTGCATCCCATAGTCGCAACTTTTTATTTTAGTTTAGCTGTAGACCGTTGGCGCTGGCGTCGCTTACCTTTATACACTGCTAGTATGTTGTTACCTCCGGCATATAAACTGTACGTTCTGACCTCTGAAACTTGGCAACGTCGCCGTCATACATATATCCAACGCATGGTAGAAGGAAACATGGTATACGCATACGTATCGACTGTTACGTCCAATGGCATCAAATTAGCGGCAAATTTAAAATACATTAATTTGCAATCACCCCGAAGTCTAGACAACGTGTTGGAAAACTGTAGCCGGCAGTTTCGATCTTGTTTGATATCATCAGTACAGCACATTCCATCGAGTTGTCTAGCATTCATTGTGCTTAAGATTTTAAACTTGCTAATTTCACACAACTTTTTTTGTTAATCTTTATGCTCTTTGCCTAATAATTGGAGTTTTCACTCTGTTGAGGCATTGTATCAGTAATAATAAGATTAGCAACCAGCTAAACAGCTTTAAATTGAAAATTTTATTTGTGATTATACAGTTATTGCAGTCGTATGTAATATGGGATCGCAAAATTTAGGTTTTTGTGTAACCACTAACCAACATTAGTGTAGAGTGCACATGTTTCTCCAAAATGTTGACCAGTACCAATTTACTGTTACTTTATTTGTCGAAATTACTGTTGGTTCTGAAAAGAGCCGATTTGATGCTAGTTTATAGTAACAACACAAGATTTTCGAGATCTGGCCCTCCATTCTGGACACAGTCCGAGCCCTTCTTTTTTCTTCTTCTTTTTTTATGTAAGACATTCCAAGCTCGATTTCCTCAATTAGCCTTAATTATTGTATTTAAAATTTCGGTATCCTCGAATTCTTTGACTTACGTCATTAGTTGTTTATAAAAGTCCTATGTGTTAAACCTGTGTTTCATTAAACATTCTATCACAAATGGTGTTTGAATCGTCTCAAAATCGTCTTCAAATTCGAATTTAAGTTACTACTATTGCTAAAAGCAACGTTTTGTGATGACGTCATCAACATTTTTGCAAATACACGTATATCAACTTGGATTGATGCAGTATAATACTAAAAATAACAGTATTGTATTCCCAAAATTTTCTGGGAAAATGGAGTGAGGCGTTCCTAATTTAATCAACAAAATAAATTGACCCATTCATTAATTTTTTGAGTCCCCTGCTTTAGAAAATCTAAAAAATGTGAGTGCAATGATGGATTACAAATAAGAACACATTTGCACATTTTGGGTGGTATATATTCTACAAAAGGGAGCAGTACGGCTCAGATAGACCCTAGCGCGGCACAGCGATAATGTTCATGAATATATATATATATACAGGGTGCCGCATCCAAGTCTGGATATAGGGAATTAACATGCGAATTGGTTTTTATTTTATAATATCTCCCCAGATCACTTTAAAGCTATTATTGAGTGATGGCTTTGTGGAGGTCGAAGAGGGCTATCGGCCAGTATTTTTTTCAAATCGTTGCATCGCGCTCATTCACTGTAAAAAGGTTTTAAAAATCGTATTTTGAAATTCGCGCCCGATCCGAATTGTCGCGAAGTGTTCCGTCGTATTGTCGAAGTTCGGCGATCGCGTATTTTCATTATCCATGCAAAATTCAAATGTCAAAGTGAAATTAGAAATTATTCTCATCAGAAATCAACGAACAAGTCAAACTGAATTATTTTATCCAGTGTGATGATTATTGTAGGACAAATTAAACGGAATAAATGCACAAATTGATCCATTCATTCGTCATAGTGCGCGACCCCGTCAAACGAGCCATTTCGAACTACACTCAGACCGTATCCAAAAAGCCCGAGATGAAGACTTCGAGCAGCTGGTCTTCCTCAAAACCCCATCAAAGCCCATCGGCAGTATTGTGACATTTTCTGGGAGCCATCAAGCTAGGAATGTACTCGCGCTGCCTCACTCAGTAATCACTGAACGACTCAAATTGAATTATTTTATCCAATATGACGATTATTGTAGGTCCATTTAAACGAAATAAATGCACAAACTGCACAAAATATTTTATTAGGTTATGTTGCTGGTGCTGATCGAGTCGTTATTACTAAAATCTCATTAAAATGCCATGTTCTACTGCGATTAGATGAAAAAGCGAGGGCCCGCTTTTCTTATTGTGTGATGATAAGATTTACCATCAAAATAGCTGGCGCTTTTGAAGAGGACCTTTTAATGAACCATTTAGATAACTACAAATAACAAAACTTAACAATTGTTGATGAATGAAGTAATGAAATATTGTACGAATCTGGAGAAGTATTGCACTATTTTCAAGAATTGCTCAAAAAGACTGCTCTCAGCAGCTGTACAGTAAGTAAGCCAATCTTCAAAACTCCTACGCGTGTTGATCAGCATTTTAGTTGAAATCTGAAGACAATATTGCTGGATTGCTTGTTTCAGCGCTTCTCTGTTTGTATAGCTTGTCTGAATGCAGATGGTCGTGAAGAAATCTCCAAAGAAAAAATTCTCAGGGGTTTATATCCGGCGATTGCACAGGCCAATGGGGCGGTGCAAACTTTCCATTCCAACATTGCGGAAAAATACTGGTTCAAATAAACAACATTTATGCGAACTGTATGGCTGGAGATTTGGTCCTGGATGTAAAAGACCTGCTGCAGATGCCGCACCCTTCGAGTCCCAGGAAGTATTTGCTGAGCTAGCATATTATCCTACTTCTGAGCATTCAATCCGGATTCGATGAAAAAAGGTGCAATGACATGATGTCCTAGAAGCCCCAGTCATACACTGACAATTGCACGCCATTGATAACGAAGGTCAT